AGTAGTTGCGAACTACTTAGACACACTCATGCAGCCTGAGCACATTTACCAGCCGGGCAGTTCGAAACTACAAACTGATACATCTAGTAATAATACAACTTACCTAATGAGAAAATACCAGACATGTTATATGTCTGGTATTTTCTCAGTTTGTTTTTTATGTGTTTATATATTTTTGGGCTGCAAAAAACAGTACTGGGGGAAAAAAAGGGTTCCAACTAAAGTAAAAAGCAGCCTGAGCACATTTACCAGCCGGGCAGTTCGAAACTACAAACTGATACATCTAGTAATAATACAACTTACCTAATGAGAAAATACCAGACATGTTATATGTCTGGTATTTTCTCAGTTTGTTTTTTATGTGTTTATATATTTTTGGGCTGCAAAAAACAGTACTGGGGGAAAAAAAGGGTTCCAACTAAAGTAAAAAGTTTGGGAAATCCCGGTCTAACCAGCTTTCTGACTGTCTTGCACTCCATTTATCCAATCCATATTCCTTAACTTGCTGGCAAGAAAATTGTGGGTGACCATATCAAAAGCTTTGCTAAAGCTGGCACTGGGGGCTTTGGGAGGATCAGAAACAACTTATTTGAATATTCATCAGTTGATTAATGAATATGCAAATATGCAAATGAATGTTACTGGTCCTCTAAAAGTTCATGAATGGATTTACTAGTCCCTGCGTCAAAAAGTTTGGGAATCCCTGTCTTAGAGTGTGTGCACTTGCAGCGCTGGTGCAGCTGCACTGCTGTAAGTTCTATAGTATAGCTCATGCTTCTGTAGAAATATTTGAGAAAAGTGTGCTCTTTCATTTTGAATACCAGTGGGGATTTCAGCTTATAGTTGCTGTCTTTCTTGGCCTGGATAGGAAAGAGCTCTTAAATTCGTTTTTAATTAGTAATTAAATTAGTAATTTTCTTTTGATATTTCTTTTTATTCAATGCTCATTTTAGCTGTTATTTGCTTCTGTATATTTTGCTATATATTTTGTATTATTGTACTGCCTAGAAGCCCTAATTACTAAGCAGGACCCCATTGTGACTTACACTGCACATAGGAGTGCACACACAAAAAATACAAGTCCTCCTATGTTGCTTATAAGCTAAGTATAAGACAAGACAACAGATGAATATAGACAAGCAGGGGAGTGCATAGAAGCAATGAGATAGCGTTGGTCAGTTTGACCAATGGTACCATTAATGTTGGATCTTTATGTTGGATATGTTTTTTGAGGGAAATGCTAGTACAGTACAATGAAATGGTATAAAAAAACTTTTATAGTTTCTTTCTTGAGTTGATAAACAATAAGATGTGAAAGTCTACTAAATGTAGTTAGAAAGTCTATTAAATGTAACAAACTCACCACTTCATGTCAAAATTATTACCCTATAAAATAATTAATATACTTGTCTCGTTCTTCCTTGATTAATAAATGCTGTTTCTTTTATCTCGGTATTTTACCACGTTAACAATAATAGGTGATTATGTTGTGTCAGAGGGTGGCAGTACAGCACAATTCTTAACCATGATCATAAAAATATTATGAATGTTATCTCTTAGAACATCAGATGCCCTTGAAGAGGACAGATTTTAACCTGTTTTCAGAAAACCAACATCAATGTATTGTCTGTCCTTTAAGCATGCATGTACAAAACTAATAAGAAGCTAGCACCCTTCTTTTACTCACAATATCCAAAATAAAGAAGGTTTTTTTGGTGATTTACGCAATATTTGTCCTATAAAATATTACACTTTATTTGATAAATAAGACAGGATTATATTTCACCTTCAATATACACTCAGATTAACTAGATGAGAATTAAACTTTAAATTCGCTAACTCAGATTCATCAAGTGGCAAGCATTATGGTTAATGTCACCATCACTTCTCTGTGCTAGAAACACAAATATAATGCACCAACTGGGAGGAGGAGGCTGGCAGGGAAAGATAATGATTCAGCTGGGACCTTTAAAGCTTCTTTACCCTATGCCACCACTGGCATTTAGCTTCTTTTAATCCTGGACATTTAACACAAACTACATGGCTTTATTTTTACAACACTTGTCTACTGTTTCCTACCTGCTGCTGCTGGGTTTTTCCATCATGTGTATAATTTGAATGTTAGCTGTTAAGGTCAAGTATTATGTCTTCCTCTACATCTGTACGGCATTTTCCACATTTTGGATGTTACTATAATAATGTGATTGTTTTGTAAGTGTGTTTGATTTTTATATCTACAGCTTATAATAAAAACACCAAATGTCTGTTAGTTGTAGTGGCAATGTTGGGTGAACCTCAGAAGTTTGGCTCAGATAAGCATTCTATAGCATAGATTTTATGCAAGATTATCTGAATTTCTTTGCTGTGGAATTAGACTGGAAAAAATTCAAGAAACACACGAGTTCTTGTGTTTCTTGGTTTACATCACACCAGAAACATCATGAGAAATCTTTTTTTGTAGTATTCCTTTTTTCTTCTGATCTCAGGCCAGATCTGTGCTACAAAGTTTGTATTTTTGTTGAGGTGTAAAAAAACCCCACAGTCGCAAGTTGACAGAGGCTGGTCAGCCTAATATCCAGTGTAGATGCAGTTATGCCAACAAAGGCTCTCTTCTTTCATTATAGCTAATGTTGTTCAGCGAGGAAGAGTGAATGTGCTGACAGAAAACAGTATTTTCCACTGGCAATACCAGTATCCCTATCTTGGTGTAGCATTTTTAATATAGAAAAGGCCTAACATGCAACTAGAAAGTGCAAAGATGGAGGGGTATGTTTTTTTAAACTCACAATTTTTTCAAAATTGAAAAACATTAATTTTGAGGTGGTTTTGGTTTTTTTAATCAATGCAAAAGAGTTTTTCCATTTTTCACCTTTGGAAACCTCAGGTAAGTTCATATACACCAGTGTTTCTTAAATTTTTTAAGACCGAGGAACACCAAGGATTTTTTGTTGAGAAAAGAAAAACAGTTTAAGAAACACTGATATATACTGTGAAACCCTTCTATCTTTGACAGCATTGCTTGATGTTTAATTTATGTGTCTATTTGAGGCATCACCAGTTTGGTCATAAATTTTATTTGGAACTTCATAACAAGTGCACAAGATTTGATAATAGGTTTTTTCCACTCATAAACCACTAATGTGTGCATGCAACATAGAGACAGACTGGTAATCTTGACCACATAGTGGTGTATTCAACTTTGGTGAAGCTCATTCAACAGTGCTGCACCCTCTTCATCTTCTAGTAGCGTTTGTATTTTATGGATAAGTTTAATGGGCCGGCATTTTACATTTATATAGAACTTTTCAACTCATTTGATTCCAAAGGGCTTTATTAATTGTTGTATACTGTATAAATATACACCCTATCAAAATCCAGCCATATGAGAAAGAGAACCATAGTCAGAAAGCAACCCATATACAACACATTGCACTGCAACCGGGTAAAAGGAGATTTTTGGGAAGGGCGACAGGACAAACCCATACTCTTTCAGAAAGTGCAGTTATTTTTAATGTCCACAAAAACAAATAAGATCTTAATTGTAAGGCCTCATGTTAAACCATTCTCCACCACACACTGCATTAGCTCTGAATTGCTAGTTGGTAGTTTTCATGTACTTTAGATTTACTGACAATAATGTTTTCTTTTTCAGAGAGATTGGCACAATCATCAGGTCATTAGGTTGCTGCCCAAGTGAAAGTGAATTACATGATTTGCTTGCAGAGGTAAGTGGGTTGTCTTTTGTATTTTTTCTTCAATCTTACAATTTACAAATGTTTTAATCTCTGCATTACTATGAGGGAGACCTAAGCTTGTTTCCCAGAGGCTGGAAATGTAATGGAGGTTGGTCATTCAGCAAGGGAGTCCTTCAGATTGCCCTGAAGCAACCCCAGAGGCTGATACAGGAGCAACATTGATGGAATACAAAGAGGAATCTTTCCAGGTATGTCCTCGCATAGTCAGCCAGACTTGGGCTAGTGGAGCTCTCAGTGGGGCTCTAAAAATAGCTGTATAGACAGTACTGTGAAGTTACAGCTGAAGCTTGGGGCCTGAGGTCCACTCTTCCCCAGGTTTCAGAGCCCAAACTACAGCCTAAGCTGCAACTTCAAAACAGTGCCTATACAGCTGTTTTTAAATTATGGTCCCACAATGTCAAGTCTGTCAACCTGGGCTGAGAAGCTTGCTCCAAAATGTTGTGTAGCTGTATCTTCTGACTTCTGCCATTAATGGTTACTGTGATCCAATGCCAAGAGGGTGAGGGAGGTTTTTGTTGAGAACCAAGCATACGGTTTGGGTTCCCCCCCTAAATTAATGGAGTTGTGCTAGTGTAACTAAGAAGAATTAGGTCCAAATGCAATTTTTAATTTCAAAATGAATCCCCAAGTTTAAATTCAGGTTTAAAGAGAGTAATACCCTGAAGTTTAGCTACTTACAAAAGGCAAACTTTTGAGTATTCATGCAGTGGTCTGAACAAACAACTTAGTTCCTCTGTTCTCTGCTGCAGCTCTATATAACCTGGGTGCTGAATGTTCAGTGCCATGAGGAGATTTCCAGAAATGTAGGTCCTAAGAGTGTGAAAGTTAAGAGCTTTCTCTTGAAAATGCATAGTAATAAGTGAACACACTTTTCTTGCTCCTTTGCTTCATTCTGTAAATCCAAGTTGCCACTCCCCTAATTGTGCACAGGGGACAGATAATTTCTACAAGTAAACACCAATCCAGTGTTTTTTCTTTTAATTTGAATGCTTTGATTTCAGATTGTAATTTTTCTGCTCCATGCCTTTTCTACTTCCCCTTCCTAGTAGGAGGCACCATAGCGATGATGCATAGGGTGGAGCCAGAGCATGGAATACAGCAGGAGAAATAATATTTTTCACCACTGCCTCCTTCTGTTCTCTGAGGTTATATATTAACCACACATATTATAAAGTTTGGTTCCCAGCCCAAAGTTTTGCTATCCATCTGTCAACTACATCCCCTCCAATTCTCAATTAGCAGTGGTTCCACTCTTTGAGTCAGCTGACTCAACTCTATAGATGAGAAAGTGTAAAGAACCTGCAGAATAGAAAGTTGACTTGCCTACTGCAGCCTGCTTGCTGTAGTTCTGCTCCTCTTATTAGCAGATTTCCCTAGCTCCTATCTTCAACCAAGTAGTAAAAGAAGGTCCGAGGAAAGAGAAATTATGCTCCAAAATATACATAATACATAAAAACCCTCCAACCACATGGATTGTTGCTTAATAATAATATAATTTCCTCACCCATGACCAAGATTTGCAAAATAGAAGTGGAAGGAAATGGAGGAAAGATAGGCCAGTGTTAGGATATGGACCTAGGACTAAGGAAACCTCTGGCCAAATCTTTTCCACCATATACTACTTGGGTGACTTTGAGAAAATTGCTTAGTTTTCCCTCTGTTACAGTGGTGTTTGGTGTAACTATACAGTCATAAGACTCTGTATTATTAAAAACCGATAACGGAGGTCATAGATGTATCTATATAAGAGATATAAAAGAGAGATAAAAATAAAATGCTTTAAATATTTCACCCCACAGTAGCCTTTGTCATAGCCCCCTAAAGTGAGCAAAAATATAGGCAAGATGAAATTTTAGTTGAAAACTAATTTTAAGATAGGAGTGAATATGAAGGATGATAAGATGAAGATAAACATCTGCAAAATTTGAAGGACCTAAAGCAAATACATTTGGCCTCTCATTACCAAAAGTGCAGCATTAGAGAAAGAACCTGTTTTCTGTCTCGTTGCATTTTAGAGTAGAGAAAATACCCAAGATACATCTGGAGCTACAGTGCAGATGAATTGGTGGGTGCTTCCCTCACTCTGAGGCCAGAGGGAATTGAGGTTGCTTATCACTTCACAGTAGCAGGTGCTTTATTTGGATAAAATGCAATCAATAAATCTACCAAGAGAGACAAAACCTGATACTTAATTTTGTAAGTCATTCTTATGTTGTGGATTCTGGAGAGGCTATTTGCTACTAATGCTATTTTCTTCCCACTCTGAAAATTAGGACCGCATTTAGCCCTGTGATGAGCAGTTGCAAATCTCATTGATGTAAATGGGAATTGAGAGTAGTCATCACTGACAGGATCAGGCCTAATGGTTTGGGCTCTTAAACATGATTTATTTGTAGTGCAAACTGAATGTGCCCTTTGGGACCTTTCTTAATATATAATATATCTTTCTATAGTTCCTATAAATAGTTACAACATTACTCCTTCTGTCTCTTTGGTTTCCTGACCTACAGCCTGTTGGAACATAGGTGCTTCATAAAACACCCTTTCTACAGACATTGTCTCAATATTTGTGAACCATGAAATAGTTCAGTTTATTGACTAACTGTTATATCATGAGAGGGACATTATTTTTTGCCATCCATTTTATTGCATCTTTGCAGTGGATTCAGCATTAAAATAAACAACTCTGTAATGATAAAAGACAGTTTTATTCAAGTATAGGTCAGCTTCATTTTCTAGCAAAAGATTATCTGCTGTAAGGCACAGTAGACAGAGAGCAACACTATAGCCTCAAGACACGCTGCACTGAAGAGGTGCAAACTATTAAAGACAAACTATTCATTGGTGCCTGCTATTGGAGGCATTGACAGTGAGGCAACCAAAATGCCTCTCCGAGTACACAGAGTACACACAGCAGCAGCAGCTGCTGCTATATGTTTTAACTGGGTGCTGCATGTGATGTCCCAACTGCACTTATGCAGCAAAGGACAGCAGGATATTTCTTGCCCCAATCTTTCTGGAGGTATTTAGAAGCACTGTCTGTGCTAGACTTCTTCCATTCTTGCTTGTTAAGAGTGCAAGTACCGAGAGTGTGTCTTGCCCTCACATGAGGTAGCTTTAAAGCTAATTGCTCTGTGCCCATACAAAAGTGGTCATAATGTAACCCAGAGTGTTTTGGGACTGAAAACTTCAAGTTTCAACACAGGCATGTTCCTGAACAATTAGGAACTCTTTTTGTTCATGCTGTTTGACCCCATAGAAGTCATGAGAAGTCATGGAATGCCATGAGATCCCTGCTAGAAGTCCCTATGGTCTTTTCTACAACTGTATAGAAAATCTTGCATTAATATACTTGGTTGGTAAGAAACCATTTTCTTTGAAGATGTGGTATTTTGTCATTTTTCCCTACTCTTTTTTTTCCTGTTTTAGACTTTCTTGAACTGAGAGTATCTGCTGTCTTGGCCTCTCCCTTGATAGCATTTTCTGGCTATAAAATATCTGGAAACAACAGCTCAGGCTTTGGGGACACTATACGGTATCTTTTAACAAAATGTTGTACCATAATTTAGCATTAGTTAAATATGCCTGAATATTTTGCACATATTAGCTCTAACCACTAGAGGACAATATTGAGTCATTCAAAGCTCCCACTATAGCTGTCATATAGGTTGTCTGGGGATATAGTCTCTTCCATTTAATTTTTTTATTTGATCACAAGTATTTTTCTCATAGAATCATAGAATTTGCCATGGTGACAAGTGAGTTATAAAAATCTACATAAAATTATTTAGAAAAAATTAAATTAAAATGTTAAAAAAAATCTAGTATTGTACACTTTTTGGAACCCTCTCTTGGCCTACGTTACATCATGATCTAGGGATACGATTCCCCTGTTCATGTACAGATACCCGTGTTAGCTCTCATTAAACCTACATGAGTAAAAATCATAACATAGCTGAAGTAGCGTGGGACAGCAGAGTGGAGGGCTCAGCTTAGCTCACACATTCCTGAATGTGTACCTATTTGGCACAGCTAAGATGTACTGCTCCATGCTGTCTCAACTACGTACTCTGCTGTTTATATTCACACTAGCTCCGTGAGAATTAGCAAAAGTATGTGTGCATAAGCAGCAGAATCACATTCCCTAGTTTGTAGCATAGACTTAGCCTTGGTTAGACACTAGATTTAAACTCTGCCTTTAAACTCTGGAGAACAAAACCCAGTTCTTATTTGTGATAGTGATTCTTTCCAAACAGTTTCAAATTCTTAGATGTTCACTATTTAATATTCACGTAACGTAATCAGTTAAGTTCACTAGCTGTCTGGCTTTTAATGTGGAATATTGTAGTAAGTTAAATGGGAACTAAAACATGAGAGTTGTCCTGTTGAAATTAATTGGGCTATTTATGTGCTTGATGTTAATCACCTGCATTGTCTCTGAACTGGGCCCCTGGTTAGTAATGAAATTATGTTTCCAGTATGTTGCTCAAATGATGATTGTATGGACTTTTCCTTTTCTAATACCAAACTTTAAATTCTAATATGTAAATTTTCTCCTGTGATTTCAAAGAAGGGGCTTAGAAACAGTATAATTCTGATAAAGAGCTAGATGTGCAGAAAGAGTTACACTGTGCTGGATTCTAAAATAGTCTGGGTTTTTATTTTTGTTTGCTGGTATATTTGATGGTGCAAATTTCTACAAAATTCATTTTTTTTTTTTAGTGAGAAGGGTAAATATTTGTGACTTATAGAATGTGTAAAACACAGCTGTGGTTTTGAGTATAGGACTGGCAATCTGAGCTCTAAAGCTAGCTCAGACAATAACCGTTCTGTGACTTTAGGCAAATCATGTAATATTCTTGCCTACATTGTGAATTCTCAATGATTTCACCAATCAATGGCCAGCCACCAATGCAAACTTCTAGAATAGATAAAATAAGCTGTGATTTGCACTCATGAAACTTACCCTGGTTTCAAGTAGGTGTAAGTTCCACAAGTACAAATGATAGCTTTCTTTACCTACAGTAAGGGCCTGACCAGTTGTAGGCTGGCCATTGATAGTCCAAATTGGAGCAAATTATCAAATAGGCAAGGCCTTAATCTCTCTGCCTCCAGTCTCATCTACATAGGGGCACTCAAAAACGATAAGACAAATCAATGTAGGTCACTAGCACAGTAAGACCATTTAACTCCTGAGTGACAGCATCCATTTATGGGGCTAGCACACTTTAAATTGCACGTAATAACTTCACACCTTTAGTTTATATGCCTTAATTTTTCAGATTGTTCCTGGTTAGCCATAACCTCGGTTTGTTTATGGAATGGGTACAATAATTCAAATAGGTGTTGTGAGAATTAATGTTTGTAAAGAATTTTAAAGATGAAAAGTACTACATATAATGTGTCATTACTCGTTAGTATTTATTATGGGCTAGATTGAGCCTTTATGCTCAGCTTTGCGTATGGGGAGAGTATAGCTGTGCCACCTGGCAAGGAGCCATGGGAAGGAATTATGACTCAGTATCCCCAGTTCCCCTCTTATTTTACCATATGGGATGGCAGAAGG